ATGAACATCTTTTGTTTTAGTGTATGTTACTATGATGTTTTCTTTTTTTTTGTGTTGTTGTTATTATTGTTACCAGTGGCTATGTAGTAGCATTATGTTTACGGGTTCAATTGAACCCATAACTTTTAAGGGGAGCATAAATTTATGCAGAAATATTTATTAAAATAGTAAGAAATAATGAATATGAACTCATAATTTTGAAAATATGATGAGTTCAATGTTAAAAACCTTAAATATTGAACCCATAAAATTTAAATTGTGGATCCACCTCTGGTTGTTATTGTTGTTGTTTTGGTTTGTGCATGCTATTTTCGGGATAATTAAAAATCTTATTCATGAAAAATACAATAGATCTGTTAAGTTTTTTCCTGTAATTAATTATACAATGCAGTAGGAAGTTATTTAAATGGGATAATTAATTTTTTATCATTATTTAATGGAACTAGATGTGTGCTCTTGATTGCTTTTTATTAACGGAATAATTAATTTTATTGATTTTAATTCCTCTTGTATTTCTTCTAATTACATTATGTAACAACTAGTTGGAATTGAGGTTTAGGCATTTTTTTCGAGATTCAAAGATTTCGAGAATCTCTTATAGAAAATTTTCAATTTGTAGTAAAAAAATAAATTATTGAGTAGGGGAATAAATCATGTCCAAATTGATTTGAAAACTCAAGCAATTGAGACATAATTGTTCCATCGATCTGCGTTTACATAATATTTTAATATGATTTTTCCTCTTGTTTTTGGTTTTAATTGCATTATGAATCAACTAATTGGAATTGAGAATTTTTTCTATCTTTTTTTGGCTGAAGAATTGGAACTATGGTTGAACATTATAAACACACTAACATTCCATTGGGTGTTTGATAGAAGTCTCTTGAGTTTAGGTAGCTTAATCCGAAGATTTCATAGAATTGTTTATTTCTAGAAAATCTTTGCTTTGTACTACAACACAAATTATTGAGTAGTGGAATTAAGCACGTCCAAATTGATTTGAAAAAATATTTTTACCGTCCCAACTTATTTGAAATTAAAAAATATAATCATGCAGGGGCGGGGGGAGAGAAGAAGCTACAGGTTTGACCGAATTCAGTAACTTTAGTCCAAATCATGTATTTATCTTAAAAAATTTATTAAATATATACAAATTATTAATTTAGAACTCAATAACTTAAAATCCTCCGTCTTCTGTAAATTCAGCCTTGAATAACGATTGTATAGGTATCATCTATCCTGGAACAATTAATGCTTGTATTACCGTTATTTAGAATTAATAAGTATCTTTATTAGAAAAAAGAAGGTTGAGATATAATTGTTGTTGTATAATCATTATTATATTATTTTGATCATGTGTAATAGAGTTCCCTTTAATTTGCCATCTTTCTGTTTTGAAACTAACAAATCAGTAATTAAGACAAGCTATGTGTTTGGTGATAAATCTAAACCCATAAACTTTAAATCCTAACTCTGCATCTGGCTAAAGGGGTGTCTAAAGGCATACCTACGCTATACCGAGAGGGGTTATCGGCACCCATAAAATTCGGCAAAAATTCCATGTATATATGTATATGTCTTTAGAAAATAGTACTAATATATTAATAGTGGACACCCTATATACAAAATAGATTTTGGTTGTATCCAAAAGTACACCCCCGACCTTCAAATTCTGAGTTCGGCTCTGGGGGTGTCGATGTGTCAATTGACACCCTCCACCAGTAAATTATATAATGTATCTAGGTTAAAAGAATTATGTATGTATACTATATGTTGAATATTCTCAACTTTTTCTGTGTAGTTACTTTTTTATAATTTGACTCATCTTAGTGAAAATCGTGATCTTGAGCCGATCGAAAACAGTCTCTCTGCCCAATCGGGGTAGGGGTAAGGTCTGCGTACAAACTATTTTTTCCAGACTTCACTGGCGGGATTTTACTGGGTCGTCGTTATTGTTGTTGTTGGTGGTGGTGAAAATCCTGACTCCGTTACTGTTTTCACCAGATTCACAATGGAAGAGGAAACAAACATGATATCAAGCACCACAACATACCTAACTGGAGATTGTGATTCAAGCAGTACAAAAAACCTACAGTCCAAAAAACACAAAAGAAATGCATATCAAAGAAAAGCTTGTATTTCTGGTTCAAGATTTAAAGGTGTAATAGGGCAAAACAATGGTCATTGGGGAGCTCAGATATATACTAATCAACAAAGAATTTGGCTTGGGACTTTTAAATCAGAAACAGAAGCTGCAATGGCTTATGACAGTGCTGCAATTCGACTTCGTAGTCAAGATTCACATAGAAACTTGCCTTGGACAAATTCTACAGTTGAAGAACCAAATTTTCAGAAACAGTTTTCAACTGAAGATATTCTCAGAATGATCAAAGAAGGTTCTTATCCTTCAAAGTTTGATGAGTATTTGAAAGAAAAATATGAAGAGTGTCACCCTTTCAATACTTTGCCAGTGGCGGAACTAAAGGTAAGGAAGAGGTTCGTTCGAAAATTATACTGTGTAAGTAGGGTAAAACAACTTTTTTAAGTTTATATTTCGTTGGTGTAAAAAGTTTTTTACACTATCATGTCACACAAAAGATAATTACAAGTAACCTTCCACGAATAGTGAAATCTGCAATTTATAAGTAACCTTCCACGAAAAATAAAATTTGGAAGGTAACCTGTTGACCTGACCTGATAGTATTAAATTTCTTTAGACTGACGGTTTATATAAGTTAAATGCATATATAAACTGTTGAATTACCGTAACATAAGGGAAAATTGTAAATATAAGTATTTTTATTACGCCAAAAAGAAGATTGACACATAATTGTTATTGTATAATTATTTTATATCATTTTTATTAACTTATGTAATAGAGTTCCCCTTGCCACCAGAAGGAAATCTGTAATCTAGAAATAACCTTCCACGAAATGTAAAATTTATAAGGCATGTCGTCTGCTATAACAAGTAAAAATGACCTGATAGTGTAAAAACTGTCAGTGTATATAAGTTAAACGCATATATAAACGGATGAATTTCCTTAACATAAAGAAAGCGTGTAAGCATAACATTCTTGCATTTTTTTAAAAAAAATCTTCTTATTAAAATTCCTGACTCTGCCAGTGCTTACAGGCGAACGAGGGATTCTCATACAAGCAGCTTTTCCAAAAGGAGTTAACTCCAAGTGATGTGGGAAAGCTAAATAGGCTTGTGATCCCAAAGAAATATGCATCAAAATACTTCCCACAAATCCAAGAAGTTCCAGATGTTGAGTTGGTATTTTATGATACCTCAAGAAAACAATGGAAGTTTCGTTATTGTTATTGGAAAAGTAGCCAAAGCTTTGTTTTCACAAAAGGTTGGAATAGGTTTGTGAAAGATAAAGGTTTAAGAGCAAATGACACAATTGTTTTCAACTTGTGTGAGTACAAGACTGGACCAAAAGAGATTTCTACTGATTTTGTGATAGATGTGTTAAAGGGAATTGAAGTTTTGCCAGAACCAAAAGTGGAAATTGAAGAAAGAATGAAGACACAATCATCTGATCATGCTATGGAACCAGTTTGGCTTTTTGGGGTGCAAATAGGCTTGACAAATAATAACGACGTCAAATATTATGCCTCAGTCTCCAATAAGTTGGGGTCGACTATATGAATCATCACTTCTTCATTTAAGTTCAACTCATTATCACCATCATCCTAATGCAAAAAGGCTGGACGGAGACAAAAAAACACCCTTTTAGCAATTGCGCTACTAGCATTAAGTACTTTAATGTTTTTTTGGGGTGCATTAGACTTCTAAAGTTTTTTTTTTAAAAGGGTGCCTTAGAGAAATAATAAAGTTGTTTTTGCGTGACATGTGGGTATCTTCTACTGATACTCGTGTCGGGGTAGGCTACTTATTTTACACCCCTCGGGGTGCAACCCTTTCACTAGTCCTGCGTGAACGTGAATTGCTTCGTGCGCCGGATTGCTTTTTTGTTAAAACTTCTAATTATTTTTGCTTGAATTGTCTCCTAGAAACCGAGCAGCCTTAAATGACAGTTTTACCATATTTTGTTATATTGATACAAAATTAGGCTATGGTCCTTTCTTGTTGCTAATGCTAATAGCTATTCAAGGAAGAATGGCAGATGAGTTTTAGTTTTACTCCCAATTTCCAGAATAGAATATTCTTCTAGTTAGATATATTGGCATCAACATTAAATTGAACATATATTAGACAGCCACATTTGTATTTTTTAAGCAAAATAATAAAAAGAAAAAATAGTTTAAACAAGTTTCTAAAAGGAAAATAGTTTGAGAAGAGGGGAACAATAAACTTGCACATACATACAGCTTGCCTCACCACAATTTTCATGTATAATTCATATATAATCATGTATAATATGTGCATAATCAATATATACAAGCTAAGAAAAATATACAATAAATTCGGCTAGCTATTCAGGTAAAGATACCTTAATAGTTCGACAAGTCATATTTGGTGAAAATAGCACAGGCTAGCCATTTTTCGGCCTGGTAATCGAAAAATAGCCAGCGTTTGCAAAGTCATTGTAAAATAGCTACTATTTTGTTGAAACACGAAAAGTTTCAGCATAATATGCGAGATTATAGAGCTCTTACGTATAAAGTTCCAGCATACCATGTTGAAACTCTAGCACATTATGCTGGAATCTCATATGAAAACAATTCGAATTCCAGCATATTATGGTGGAATATTTCCGTATTTTAAGGGTGTTTTAATTCAAATTTTATTTTTATATGAAAAAGTGACTAAATTTCGAATACTTTTGACACTGTAGCTATTTTTCAATTACAAGTTGTAAATCTAACTATATTTTTATTTTTTTTCCCGTCAAATTGGTCTAACATCACTAACACGTCATAATTAATAAGAGAATATAATATAAAGTTATATAAATCTACTATATTTATACAGCCCTATTCAAAAATAAAATGTCATTTTAAATCAATTCTTTCAGAAACACTGCCAAGTAAAATCCTGAGCATCAGATTCTCATGTTATAATATCAGAAAGTGGAAATGGATTATAAACAAAACTGAGATCTAAGTGAATAAAAATAAAATGAATTCAGTTGCTACCTCTTTTCTTTGTTTTTCTTTCCCCCCCATCTATCTTACAATTATAGCAGTTCTATATTACAAATCAAAATTGTGTGGAGTTGTAAAGACCACAAATACTAGTTCGCTTACACCCAATTAGAATGGCATATAAGCTTTTAGAATAAACTTGCAGAAGCTTATGCATGCATCTTCCTAGACATTCTGGTTGGTTTCATCCGGGGCTGTAACAGTTAGATTTTTCAAGTACAGGGCAACAACTAGCCCCTCCAATCAGCAATGGCGATCGATGTACCTAAATCTTGAGTCAATATCAGCACTAAATGTAGCCACGTGCACAACCACCAGAGCAGGAAGGTGAGAGAGAATCCAACCGAGAGCCCAGCGTTGGTATCTCCGAGCCAAATACTCGTCTTGCATAGCTGACAAGAGCTAGGTCCTTGGAAACTCACCGTGTTAGATCATGTCAACAGCGATCAATAAGGTATTACGTATGGCAGCGCACAAACGTCAGCAGAGTCTATTTGCAAAGCTTCTGACCATACCCGATTGTCCTTAACTTCATCAAGATACATGTCGGGCTTCCTAACCAGAGTACTTTTGCTTCCAAACAACCATTCCTGGTCATCAATTCCCGACCACTCGTCCATCTTCGGAACTGAGAGTATCTGGTTCAGATACTTGGAATCTGGATGAGGAGGTCTTTTAGACGCTTCAGCAATCTGATCAACACCGGGAGACATGGAAGAAGCCTTTGGTTTAGACATAGCCAATGGCTGACCTTTGACTGTACCATTGACCCCGTTCTCCTTGTTTGCGAACCCAATATCAGTGACAACTCCATGTTTGTTGGATAACTTAATGGTACCATTAATACTGCGCTCCTTGTTTACCACCTGCACATCAGCGGCAACTCCTTGTTTGTTGGAAGATAACATTTCTGCCTTTTGGTCAGTATCCGATATCTTTCCATTCTGCGTGGGCTGATGAGAGGATGAGGGCCGCAGCAATTTAGCAGGCCTGACTTCACTCTCTGTACAGCAGAATAAAAAACAAGCAAACAATAATCAGCCAAACCCAAAGGACAATTGAAGCTGAACATGCTTGCTCAAATTTTCGTGCGATTCACATGAAAATATTGAAAACAGTGGGTTATCAATTACCTAACAGACTATAGCCAAAAACATAAGAAACAAATCACACAACACACTTGCAGAGCCTTCCTACTATCACTAGAGGAGGATATAAAGCAATAGTCTTCGATAAAACAGCAGCTGTTAATATTTTGTTCAACTCACCATGCAGGAAACCATTTGTTTCAATATCTTTTCTTTTTCTGAGATTTCCCTCAGTGACTGTACCAGCTCTGTTATCCTTGGGTACAAGTGGAACTTGGTGGTTGGTGTTACTAACACTAACAAAATCGCTCTTATTGATGTCTCTTGATTTATCAGGTTCACTTTTCCTGTGTGCACTTTTGTCCTTCGCCTTCTTTTCCTTTTTCTTTTCTTTTTCCCGGTCTTTCTCCTTTCCATGACTTTTCGCATCCTTTTCTTTATCCTTTTTCTTGTCTCTTGGTTTGTCATCTCGTTGTTCTTTGGATTTATCTTTTTCATCTCTCCTGTTCTCAACATTCTCTTCCAATGGTGGCAATCCATGAAATTTGCTCTTTGCCATCTCCGGAAAGCTGGGAAGTGTTGCATTAACACCAATTCTTGGTTCAACTCTGACTTGATGTCCATCCATCTTATTGCAATAAACTCTTTTCTCCTGTTTCTTTTCCTTTTCTTCAACAAAATTACCAAAATCCTTGATGTACATACTGTTTGTCTTTTCATCCCTTTTCGACTCAACTGGAAATCTCTCAGCCAACTGACTTCCTGCACCCTTCTGTTCATTTCTGATCCGCCTCGCCAACTCCTGTACAAATTTTGACTCCTCTGTCTCAACAGTGGGGAGGCTGGTTTTAAAGAGCTTTTCTGCATGCGGGCTATGAGACTGATCGCGGTATTTTGCTTCCTGTGAGTTGATGCTTTCTTTTTTAAAATGTTCATCTCTGCTAGGAAGCTTTTGTCCACTAGAAACTCCTGGTAGAACGGCAACTCTTGCCTCTTCAGAGATGTCACTTCTCTCTTTATCCTTGTCCTTGTCCTTCTCTTTATCCTTTTTATCCTTGTGCTTTTCCTTCTTGTCGCGGTGTTTATCCTTCTTGTCTTTCTTTTCCCTGTGTTTCCCGTCACTCCTGTCTTTATCCCTTTTTTCTTTACCTTCTTTCTTTTCTCTGTCTTTCTTCTCCTTTTTATGTTTTTTCTCCTTCCGTTTCTCCTACAAAACAGCAAAAAACATGCTAGTTTTATATTAATAATGTATATGTACAATCAATGCCAACATCCTCATTCAAGGAAGAAAACTGAAAGGAAAAAATTAAAATTCTGAATAATAGCACAGTTTCACAACTGAGTAAAGCACCAAACTTGAAAACCGGAATGAGGAGTTTCATGTTCAGGTGGGAATTATTCTAGATATAGACTACCTGAGCACAAACACACGAGAGCACCCGCACATCGCAGTAGTTGCTTAGGGAAAACACCAACCACCAGTTGAGAAACAATGGCCTTCATTAGAGCAATCAAAAGAATAGCTAGCCTTCTTATCATTTATATTCGAAAAGCAATTATAAAATAACATTGCAGAAACGTTGGTTTCACAAGAATAGGGAATAACCGGAACAGGACACGAGGAAATAGAAACCCTAAGGCAACATCATCTTCCCAGTGAAATCATTCAAACACAGGAAGGAAGACCTAGGATTCCCATGTCTATCAATATGGATATCGAGAGCTTCAAGGAAAGCTTGTCCGTTTGCTTGGATGGCGACAAGAGGTGTGTTACTAGTGCAGAGAACTCGAGGAAAAAGAAAATAATATATGTTAGCTGGCATCTCATGTGCAAGCGTTCAGAGAAGACATGAGCCACATATTAGTGCACTGCCAAATTGCAAGTCAATTGTGGTGGACAGTCCTGAATATTTAAGATACAATGCACAATACTGGAAACCACTAGGGATTTGATGCACAGTTAGGCATACAGAAGGAGAGGCAAGGCATCGGGTTTAGCACCCTGGAACTTTTTATGGGCACTTAAATTCTTTGAACAACCTAGCAAAATAATTTCAAAACCTTTTCAACTCAAATATATTATCATCCTTCTCTTATGTTCTAATTCTCTGACAGTAAACCGACCTATACCTCTTCATCCCCTCTCCCTCCTTAAAAAAGGAAAGAGAGTGGTCCTTTATTTTAGCTGCTGCTTAGGTTTCTACTGAGGCAGAAAATCCTTCTTCCCGTGATATAAGAAAAACTCTCTTTCCCTCACACACCAAAGCTAAGCTGACGAAAAGCAATCAGATATTGGCTGCATCATGAAGCTGAATCCCTTGTTGCATCCACTGATAGATGTAATTTACAAAGAACCAATTTTCCTAGATCCATCTCCAGAAGATTTCTCACAACGCCACCTTCTAGAAAGGTGATAACTGAATATTAATTACAGCTCCTCGAAGCTGAATCCCTTGTTGCATCCACTGATAGATGTAATTTACAAAGAACCAATTTTCCTAGATCCATCTCCAGAAGATTTCTCACAACGCCACCTTCTAGAAAGGTGATAACTGAATATTAATTACAGCTCTTATTTGTTAAGATCATATAAGAGATCACTAAATAAAAGTCCTCAGGGTGAACAAACAAACATTTGCAAAAGCTTGCAACTCACTTCCCATTCTAGGATAATCTGAATTGGTGTGTAAAAGAAACCTTTTTTGGATAAGTTACTGTGGAAGGAACTAATACTAAAGGAGATCTTTTAACAGTATTCACCCTCATCTTGGCAAGGCACGCAAATCCTCTACAGACAAGTAATACATAATTATTACTCCCTCCGTTCCAATTTATATGAACCTGTTTGACTGGGCACGAAGTTTAAAAAAAAATGAAGACTTGGAATTTGTGGTCCTAAACAAGTCAAAAAGGGGCCCAGAGTATTTGTGTGGCTATAAAAGCTTCTCATTAAGGGTAGAATTGTAAGTTTAAGCAAAATTGTTTCCAAATTTAGAAAGGGGTCATTCTTTTTGGAACGGACTAAAAAAGAAATAGGTTCACATAAACTGAAACGGAGGAAGACAAACATATAAGCGCAATCACAAAAATCATTCACCTAATGTCAGATTTGGGCTCAAAAAGCAGCCCAAAAGGAAATAGAACCGTCCAGCTAGTTTTGCAATATGTCCTTTCTTGATAAGGTAAAGTAAGGATTTATGCTCCAGGTTCTATCCTTCATGCTTTTAAAGGAAACAATCACCCGACAATATTTTCCATTATCACGGATTCTAGTCCTCAAAACTACAGCCATATTATCACCTAAAATGGTTTCAGATACTGAATAGAAGTAGAAACATTTTCAGGTCAGGACAAACATTCAACAAGGAGATTCAAGAAGTTTGTTCTTCTCCACATCATCCTCACGAGTAGGAGTTTCAGAAAACATCTAACAAGGACACCAAATTGAAAGAAAGAAAGGAATGATGTAGCATACTGAAGATCTAATCATTCAATTACATAATACTACTAAGCCTTGAAAGACAACAGGAAATACCATTTGTTAGTACATCAAATTTGATTCACTGTTTACATTCAAGAAGAGGTACCTAATGAAAGAGGGAGATGGATAATTTTCCCGAGAAGAAACACGTACTCGATTTCATCAAGAGGATCACTCTCTGATGAATTCTTCATTTTTTCAGTCACTACACAGGTCATAGCTAAATAGCTAAAGGAAATGCAAAAACACAATAGCAAATTGCAATATTACAAATCTACAAACAAGTAAATATCAAGCAAAGTACTTTGCCCAAGGGAAAACCTACAGCCTCACTTGAAATTCAAATGGATACAGAAGATTGTACTTATTGGCTTGTATGTGAGAGTTTGTAGCAATTTCCCTGAATAACTAGCTTTCTATAAGGTCTTCTATTCAAATATTAGCAAAAGGCACTGTGTCAATACTATCTTTCCCAAGATTACATCTATGAAGCGCTCAAAGAATTATAAAGCCTTCCTTCCACAAATCAATTAGATTCTCTCAGTTACACTAGGGGAAAAAACTCTAAAATGGCTAAGTTATAGCTAATAAGATACATCGGAGAGTATTCTTAACAGCTGTACTAATGCCGTTCGCCCGGCTCAATGGAAAGACAACCCTGTTCTACACTTCATCAAAGACGAAAGCCTTTCTAAACTCTTGAACTTAAGAGAGGCTTCTTTTCAAGCTGTCTGTCCAAGAGTATATCAAGCATGATAAGCATCTCTACTATTTCTGCCCAAGTGATGGTTGTTCTTCCTTTCAGTCAGTGCCTAAGAGCAGCTCAAACAAAGAGGAAGCTAGCCCCGTCTGAATTCCAGCCTGGCCCGCCCTTCTGCTACAAGGTCTGAAATGACAAGAGGCGAGGACCTCGCCCAATCCCTTAATGAATCGAACAGTCCTTCACCTTGAATGTACCTAACTAACTTCTTACCTTCAGCTTTGAACCTTGCGGGCATGACATAAGGACCCCCAATTTCAACAAGTAGACTGTTTTCGAAAAATAATCAGCTTTATTTCAATTGCCTTACCTGAAAGGGTGAAGTTCGAGTTGTGCAAGCCCCCAATTCCCTTGAGTTTCATCCTTGGCAAACAACATAATCCCAAAGGTGGGATACCTAATGCAAAGGGGAGTTCTGAACCAGAATTTTCTCACTACATTGCACATCTTGCATCTGACCCACAGAGGTAAGCATATCATAACTAGATCCGGCATCAGCATTGCATCCCAAACATCACTAAATCCAGCGTCACATATTGCATCCCAAGAAAGCAGAAACATACAAATATATGGATCCACACATAAAGCAACTACTACATGGGATTCTTCTTGAGTGGGCGGTCTTTTTTTATTTAATATAATGAAAAAGTGTCTTATTATTGTTTTCCAAAATCAGCTCCAGGAAATGATGCTTCATCATACCCAATGAAAATAAAGTGAATACAATTTCACTTTCAAAATCCCGTAACTCCGACATACTCATTTCCATTTATGAACTTCTTTTCTATTTTATTATTTCACTTTCAGAAAGAGGATATCTTCAAGGTTCACTTATTCCAAATGTAGTATGGAACCACCCAACTATTGAACCATTTCTCCATTGTAGCTCAATTAGTTTGCAGCATACCCAGCCCAAAAAAGTATTGTAACATATACAGCCGTCTTCAGCAAACCTATAGCCTAAAGCTAAGTTGCTCGGACTCGGGTGCGGGTGTCCGATACGGGTGCGGATCTAGAGGTCAGATCCTTCATGATCTAAATTTAAAGATTCGGGGGTACGGATCCAGGTACGGATACGGATGCGGGGATTCGGCTAAAAATAATTCAATTATTTAAAAATAGAGTTATAAAAATATGACTAAATTATGAGACATTATGTGGAAAACTTACAAGGTATTCCGAGAAGGAGAAAATATTGAACAAGAGTAGAATTTTAGGAGATAAAAAGGAAAAGGACTGACATAGAAATTTATATATACAAGGTATTCCATTTTTTTCCATATCACCCTAGCTTTTGATTTGTTTTCAAAAATCATTGTATCTGTCCCAAATTTCTCCGTTGATTTTGGTCAAAGTACCCAAAATCGGTTGACCAGATCCGACACGGATCCCACACCCATACCCACACCCACGTCGTGTCGACACGGGTGCGGCACTGAAAGTGAAGAGTCCGAGCAACTTAGGCCTAAAGAAGTATAATATGATCAAGTATGTAAGCACATACCCCGAATGCTCACAATTTCGACATAACATAGCAAATAAGTGTTCCCATACATTTCTCACTATAGTGTAAAGGTATGACACTCAAGAACACCTTGCCTTAATGTATCTAATCAAGCAAACTGCGCTAATGTTCCTTTGCCTAAACCTTATTCCCCAAGGGAAAGAGAAGTGTGTAAAGTTTCTTTATTTGCTTCTATTTTATTAAACACAAAATCACAAGACACCCCAAAAAAGCACTTTCCAATAAACAAAGTCTCAACAGAAACAACAAGATTCTGAAGGAAAGTCATAGCCATCTGTATCTTATTACTTTAAATAAATTTCCTTTTCCATTCAAAGAAACACAGGCAATAATGAATTTTTTGATTATTTATTTTCCGTTGCATTACTTATCAGTCTCTGCTAGTTTTCTTGATATGTGGATGAAGGAATCCATTGATTCACCTTCTTTGGATAGTAGCCCCCCCNCCTCTCTCCTTTTTTTGTTTTTGTTGGTTGGTCCCCTTGACCTTTTCTAGTGTTTAAAAGTTGTAACAGTCAGATTAAATATTTCATAAATCTTCTGGAAATTTGTTCAGGCTAGTTGACTGGCCAGTTTGAGCCTTTAAAAGATCAAAGTGGTTATTCGAGACTAGTTAGCAAGCTCAAATATCTTATAATCACACCACTTGATATGTCATTTACTGTAAGTGTAAGCTATTTTCTCCAAGCTCCTGTCACAATCATTTTAATGCATTAATTTGCATTCTAAGGTATAACAAAGGTTTGCTAGGAAAACATCAATTGTACGAGAATAGGAGTTACACAAATATTCTTAGGTATTCTGATGCAGACATAGCATGATTTCCTTCGGACAGACAATCCACTTGATGGTATTATGTTCTAACTAATAGGAGGAAATCTAATATCTTTTTTTTTTTTGAGGAAGGAGGAAAATCTAATATCTTTAAAAGCAGAAAAGCAAGATATAGTAGCTGGATCAAGTGCAAAACAGAGTGCCGAGCAATGACTGTGGTTCATGTGATCTTATATAACTAAAACAACTTCTCCAAGAGTTGAGGTGCAAAGAAGATGAACCAATAAAATTCTGCAACAATCAGCTGCATTACACATTATTTCACGAAATAGCGAAACATTTAGAAATAGTTAGTCATTTTATTTAACAAAAGATTTAGAAGCCACAGGCTTCGTCAACTCAATGATCAATGAGCGAATATTCGCAAAAAATTACTATGTGGCACCAAATTGAGTATATTTGAAACAAGTTAGGATTATCCAAATATGTATGCTCCAAACTTGAGGGGTGGTGTTAAGAATATTAGGAATTTGTAAATATGGCAAAAGTCAATTCCTTGTAAATATGTAAAGTATAGGATCTTCTAATTGTATAATTAGGAATAGGAACAACATGAGGCGTACTTACTTGGAAACACTATTCAAATCCAAACATGCTTGAGAAAATATCAAACTATTCATTCTCAAAATCTCATCTTTTTTTTTGTTTAACCAAATATTACCGACGTTATGAAACACATAGAGCTCAAGTAGCCTGTGAAAGAAGATGTCAAAAGCATGTCTTACATAAAGCAAAATGGTCAGGCAGTGATATGTCATTCATTTAAACTTTTATTTTTTTTTAATACGTAACTACGTCATTCATTTAAACTTTAGCAGCACATTTAAAATATTTATTAAAAGAAAAAAAAAAAGAGGAAACTTTCATACTCATCAGCAATTAATACGAAGCCGTTTAAACTGAGGTTGTATTTGCTCGGTTGCCAGAAAGATAAAGGCATTCTTCATAAGATTTAAGGTCTTCAAAAGGAACATCCCCAACATCCTAAGTAGGTTCTACAGGAAGGTTACTTTTCAAAGATTTTATAATAAAGAGACATCATGCCGTTGAAATATCCACTACACAGAAAATCATGGTGCACTTAATCCCTTCACATGAAAGGTGCTTACAGTAAGACTGACCAATAAGTTTCTCTTTTTCTTACTTTTGTATTCTTTGCACCAGCAATAAAACTAAGAAATGATTACAACATCTGATGAGTTTTCCTAGAACTCAATGAGCAACTTTAACACGCTCATAACGAAAAAGATCATAGATGTCAATTAACAGAAGCATGGATTGCAGGATTATCCAACAAAACTTATGGGGTTTTACTTGCATTCATTAGCCAAACTATCTTAAAGCCAGAATCCATTTTGATATAATAAATTAATAATAGGAAAAATCTTAAATTCCCCAGAAAGATTACTAAACCATGACCAAACAAAAGAATAAAGGGATCACACCATCACTAATCTGGACCAAAAAACAAGCATATCTCTACCCATCTCTCTTAACCAAAATCACCCTATATCTCTAAGCAGTGCTTCAAAAGAGTCTTCTCCATATATATTAATCCAATGATGCTAATGATGTTTAAAGTATCCTTCATACTCCAAAATTCCAAGCAATTAAATGAAATTACCATTTTATCATTGCACTTAACATGACCAAAGACAACAAAATAATAAACTCGGATTTGACACGGGCCCTATTTTCCAGCAATAAAGGCTAATCAAATTATCTCATTTCAAGTACTACTTCGGAAAAAACATTCCATTGGAAGATGTCCATGCATCACAGCTAACCTCTTTATAATGAAGTAACCATCATGAAATTATTGGAATAACAAAAACATATCAACACAATGTGATAACTTGAACAAACCTCTTTTAATAAGTCCTCATCCTCCGGTCTAGGCTTCTTTTCATATCCTGGTGGTGGAAATGGAAAGCAACGAGACATGGCACAGAATTTTACTCCGAGCTAAAAAGGCGCTGTTCCGGAAACAGTGTCCTTTAGTTACTTTCTCACAGCAGTGTTCCAGTAACAAGCAACTAGACTCCTGTCCATTCACCATGACCCCACATTACTTTCCAACTTCAGCTCACCTCCATTTAATCCTAACTCAATCAGTCCAAAAACCCCACTTAAATTAAACTAGCTCTTCACTTCAAATATCCAATGCGATACACCTAAGAAATCAGAAACCCCCTTCAAGTACTCGAAATCTAATATCACGGAGCTAAAATACGAAAAGACCACAATAACTCAAGATGGTAATGCCACAAATAAACTTTTCAAGAACTATGTCAATCCAAATGGTTTTCTTAGAAAAGAGAATTCTCCAAAGTAATCTGATCCTTTATCTTGTCTAAAAAACCAAAACTTTACAACCATCACCTCTTCTTGCATATCACTACCAAAACCAAATAACATAAACATCCCCTACACTAATTAAGCAAAACTGATGTGGAAACACAACAACCCCTTTTCACTTAAAAACTCAAAAAACCTTTCTCACTTATCAACTCTCCTTTTCTTTTTCCTTTGTTTCAATAGTTCTCCATTTCTACTAGTATAATATACAGTCCTCTTCCATACCCTAAAAATCTCTATCATTCAATTCCCAATTAGGCTCAAATTATCCCCCCAAAATCATATTTTGCTCTGATCTGAAGCTCAACAAGAAGCTGATATTAACACTGAGAACCCTTTCTGATCAAAACCCTAATCAGTTGGAGCTTGACCGGTATCCGATCCAATTTCAAAACCCTAAAAATTCCATCAGAAGAGCAATTCAGCACCCAAGAACAGAACAAAAACCCTAACATTTACCAAATAATCCAATAAAAATGAAATCTTTATTGAAGTTTTAAGGAATCAAAGTGAAAATTCAACACCCTTTTTTACCCAAAAAAATCATCTTTTTTAAAAAAGAAATTGCCCATTTAAGTAAAAATACATAAATGGGTAAACTTTTTAAGCTGAAATTATAATCAATGAAGTTGGGTATTTAATTCTTGTTTTTTTTTTTCTTAATAATTTTTACCTTTAAGGATGGAACAAGATCTAAAGATAATCGAGAATAACACAATGGATTTTGCAACCTCAAATCACTCTTTATGGTTGTTGTATTGTGAGTTTTTTTCTCTTTGTCTATATAGGGTTTGAGAAAAATGGGTTTTTTGGGGGTTTTTTTTCTCTTGTTTGTTTGCTTTGCTGTTTTCTGTTTCTGGGTTTGGGAAAGAGGGAAAGGAAAGCAGAGGTTATGAGCCTAAGCCTCACATATATTGAGAGAGAATATGAGAGAGAGATGTTTTGTGAGGAAAAGAAAGGATGAGAGAGAGAGACAGAGAGGATCCCACTCTCGCAACTTGTCCGTTTGATGAACTCTCTCTCTCTCTTCTCTCTCTCGATTAAATTGTACACTCAAAGTCTCTTAAGTTATATACTTTTGTTTCACGTCTGGTGTCCGGTATTCACGTTGGGGCCTGACTAAATTGGAATTTGCATCGAAAAGTCCTACATTAGGGATAAAGTGCTCCCTAATCAAGACGATTCCATACCCAGAGACTCGAGTTATTTAGTTAAAGACGAAGGAGTACTAACTAATGCACCACAACCCTTATTAGTCTTTAAGTTATATACATACTAGTACTAGAATCTATAGTACTCCAAGTGATAAATATTCATTCTTCTAATCTTCTAGTCATTTTCTTTATTCGAAAGACTAATTAAGATTGGTGTCACGTGTATTTATTAACTGCTTGTTCTTGTTACATGTTAGTATCGTATTGTATTTTTACTTTAAATATAATATTTATTTTAATTCTTATTTAAATTTTATCGTATTATATCGTTAAATCCGTCATTATGTAACGACGAAAAGTGTCACTTTATGGAACGTACCTTATTTTTTCCTCTCATCTTGTCCTTCCTTATTATTAAATAATCATATTTTATCATTTACCTTATCGTTTTATATAATAATATTACCTCGTATCTTAATTTTTCTTTATAATTATAATATTGCGAGTTTATTCTTCATACTATTGGTGCATGATATCATGAAACGACGACAAATAATACAATCTATCCAAATATTGTATACATCAAAACGATACAATACAATACAATATTATATGATACATTATGAAATGATACATAACAACCATCCAAACAAGCTGTAACGGAAAAAGCATTTTATACCAAGGACTTTTTCATTCTCAAGACTCGAATACAAGACATTTATGCTAGTCTACAAAAGCATGACACTTTTCTTTTTTTTAGTCCATTCTTAGAAAATGGAGTTGCTTGAAAGCATATTTTGAAATTACATAGGTGAATATAAAGATAATGTTACACCCCACGTTTTTTTACGTGAAAGTACGTCGTAAGTCGATTGATGTAAGCTTGAAAATGAGATCCTCTTTGAAAGTATATAAAGTGATTAAATAATGTTACGTCCCATTTTCGCAAGCCTTTAAGAGTTATCATTCATGGAAAAATAATTTTTAAGGGGACATGTTGTTACACCCCGTACTTCAGACGTCGCTGTCATTATAGGATTATCTAATGTAAGCTCAAAAAGGGCGAAATCCTTCTACAAGGATAAGAAAGGCTTACCGAAGTATTAAGTAAGTTGAGATGAATACGAGACTTGTTAATCATGATTTAAATGAGTTTAAAGTCATGATATGATTATATATCATGTTTGAATATGAAATATAAAGTTTGGGAAAAATCGGATTAAAGTTGCGAAAAAATCGACTAAGGATTTGCCTTGTAACAGAGCTTTTTGAGAAATACATTTCGTGTACTATATGGGATATTTTTGGGACATATTATATACCAAATTGAAGATATTGGAATGTGATTTCCAACTCTATTAGCCGTTCATTCATACAATATCCGGATAAAAAGATATAAGCGTCTGAAGAAGGGCCAATGCGAGGGTGCCAAGTAGCACCTTTTTGACTTTTACAAAATGGGAAAATTACATCCCTTATCTCGTCTCTTTCTCCATTTTTTCAGAGATCACGACCAAATAACATTCCTAACCTTACCCTTAATCTCTCTACAAGGTCTTCAAACAAGATTATCATCCCGCACACAAAATCAAGAAGCGATAACATTAAAATGATCCTTACGACGTAAGTATCGCTATATCGCCTCTTTTTTTTTGTAGTTTGAGTTTTGAAATGTATTTAATAGTTAATAATATGACTAATTTATGTATTTAAGCTTTTAAATATCAAAAAATATTGATAAATCTGTTTCCTAATAGTTAGAACTCACGGGACGGTGATCGGAAGCCGTGAGTTCGAGTTATTTGACTTGTAGTGGACTGTTTTGTGGGTTGTTTTGTGTTGCTTTGGGCTGTCTATTTTGCTACTGTTTAATGTAGTTTTGGAGGAGAAATTGTGTGGAGAAACACCACATAATGGAAAAATGGTGTATTAGTCGTTCTTTGTAACATTTTCGGTGTGTTTGACGCTACTATAGTTGTCGTTTTGGGTATGAAGTGATTGGGGTGTGTTGGGATGTTGTAAGCTATATATAACATGGATCTCGACTTGGATCCACTGTAGGAGGTAATTATATTGTGTTCTTTCGTGTGCTTAAGGATATCTTGATGTTGATTAAGTTAAATGGATGGACTAGACATGAACTAGTGAATAAAGTTGCTAATTGAGGATAGTTGGAGTTATGGATTATTTTATTTGCTATAAATATATGGTATAAGGCTGAAATCATTGATGAATGACTTTATTATCTTATTAATGATACTAGTAAGTTAAAGTAAGAAGTCTATAGGGGGTGATATGGGGTATACGGATTTCAATTGGGCTTGTAGCTCATCGTGAAGTAGTTGTGATTTGTTGTTATTATATGGTGTCTTGTTATTGATAATTATGTATTACTGGAATTCTCTGGTCATTGTTGTTGGTATATGGTATTGGAGGAGGCTCTTGTTACAGGGGAGATATTGGTCAAATTTACATAAACAAGCTACTAGTTTAAGTTGCGGACTTAGCCTTTACTCAACATTGATTTTGAATCTCCTTATGCTATGATAGATTGAGTTGAGATATTTGAAGAATTTCTTGGAAGGTATTAATGACTCAATGGAGTTAAAGTATGTTAAGGCTATCCATTATTTCCTTTTGGCATAATTCATATGATACAAATGAAACGCGCAAACGCTGAACTTTCATAAATGACTCTATTCATAGAAGTACTAGGGGTTCCTATGTTCTGGATTCCCCATATGTCCTACTTTCATATTCTCTATTCATGGGTCTTATGACATTCTAAGAGATACTATCGACTTAATTCATTATGCATTGCATCCATTTATACATGTATACTGACCCATGACCAAATGGCGTTATATACGCGTATAGTATATGTATATGGGATATGGGAAAAGGTTATGGCGTTATATATGCACCACCACCTGATCAGCTGGTATACGTTGATGATTTCGCCCACAATGGCTGAGTTGATATGATGGGATGCCTACATAGGCTTGATGATGTTATGTACGCATATATCTATACATGGTATGGCATTTATACGCACATGCATGACATTATAAATTTTTCATGATTCACAGAGCTATTCAGAATTACATATTGAGTTATTTACTCCATGTTTCTTTCATGTCTTTTATATACTAATGCCATGCCTTACATACTCGGTACTTTATTTGTGCGGACGTCTCTTTTGCCTGGGGACATTGCGTTTCATGCACGCAGGTCCCAATAGACAAGTTGAGAGTCCTCCTAGTAGGCTATCAGCTCAGCGGAAGGTGTTGGTGCGCTCCACTTGCTCCGGAGTTGCATATCTGGTCAGTATGATTTGGACATGTATTGATTGGTATGGTGGGGTCATATCTCAAACTTTATGGCATTTATGTACTCGTGGAGGCTTGTAGACAGATGCCATATATATGAATACTTGTATGGCCTTGTCGGCCTATGTTTTGAGTATACAAATGATCATGTCAGTCTTATAGGCCCGTATGTCGCATGCATAAGCTTCTATATCATGTTGAGTCATCACATGTCGAGTATTCTCTTATGTTTAATTCTAGTTATCTCATGACAGCCTTTCCGGTTTATTTACCCATGATAGTATGATAAGAAGGATACGTTACGTTGGTACTCGGTTGAGTTAGGCATCGGGTGCCCGTCGCGCCCTACTGTTTGGGTCGTGACAAAAGTGGTATCAGAGCAGTTCTATTCTAGGGAGTCTACAAGCCATGTCTAATAGAGTCTTGTTTATGGGTGTATTGTGTACCACACTTATAAGCAGGAGGCTACAGGGTATTTAAGACTATCACTCTTTCTTCTTACTCTAGATCGTGTGGTAGAGCTCAATTGTAATAATTCAAACTCCTAAATTTTATTTTATTCGTAATACAACGATACTTGCATCCAGAAAGACAGTTGGTAAGAGATTGAATGTGGTTGTAGAAGAGTTGAGTCAGAGGAACTCGATTTTGCATCATGCTTATGATGAGTAAATGTGAGGTCTTCAGCAGATCATGTGTATACTAAGATGTGTAAGCTTCTTGATAAGGAGCCCTAAGGCAAGAATATCTATCCACCTATATGGTAAAAAGAAATAAGAGAATCAGAAGGTAGATACAAGTTTCGGCAAGTAAAAGAAATAAGATGAAGAAGGGCACGAGGTACATAGTTAATGAAGATTATCAGTATTTGCAATTCAGATAGAGAAATACAAGCACTATGAGTTACTTTCAACGGTAATAGAATTATATACAATTGTCCACACTCATCTTAATTATGCCCTATGGGAGCCAGCAAATATAGTTTAAGAGAAAGATATGATATCAGCATCCAGCCGGGGTTAGAGTAACCCAAAAATGGTGGATGGATTGTTATTATTAGCTAACATTTCCGAAAATAGTGCAAATATGGTAATAGATCTCCTTGTGAGACACCCAGATGATGAACTCTAGAATAGTACAGTCAGCTATGAATACTAGAATTTTTAGAAATTTCAGAAGATAGGCAGTGGAATCCAAGAAGGGATAAATATTTACCTTAGTATGACTCCAGCCCTGAGTAAAAAAAAAAAGGAGAATGTTAGGCATTCCGAGCCAATGAGATAAAGTAAGGGAGCAAAAAGTGAAAGAACGTTTTGTTGATGTTTTCAGAATAAAGTGATAGACAAAATATTATCCGGAGAATAAGAAGGGAGTAAATGAAGCATCATGAGTAAGATCGGTAAATCAAAATATGACATGATGACGGATTCTATAGTCAAGTGAAGAAAAAGACAAAGGGAGGCATGCCTTGAAACAATAGAAGAGTATAAGCCATGAAGTCATATCCTTCTTTTGAGAAATAAGTTGGTGACTCCAACGTGATTACCAGAAGAAA